GACCATAAATCTTTTCACTTTAAGCTCGTCTTCAGACAAGTACTCCACTCGAGAGTCACGACAACTAGACTATATTTTGCAGTTCGCTTCAGATACACGACATATTTCTAATATAAACAATTTAGTCGCAGACGACTTGTCTCATATAACTTCCTTGAACAGTTTCCAAAGAATCGACTTTCTTAAACTCGCCCAGCTTCAAAAGAAGACACTGATCTTCAGCACGAATTATCTTCAACAACCCTAAAACTGCGTATTAAACAGATGGGGACAGGTAAGGAGACTTTATTATGCGACACACATAATGGCCAGAGGCAGCACCCATCATGGAAATTACTTCCGAAACAGTAGCCCGAGCCTGCGTCAAATGGTGGGTAACAAACTTCGGTTGCCCTTGAACTATTACTATAGACCATGGACGCCAGTTTGAATCTGGATTTTCCGTTGTCTGAGTACATTATTAGGAATCACACGATTCCAAACGACTACCTACAAGGAAACAGGTAGGTAGAACACCTTCACCGACAACTAAAAGCTTCCCTATCAACTGCAAACGCTTCACAGTTGACCTACTCTCTTCCACTCGGTATTCGCAATGCATTGAAAGCTGACATTGGATACACTGCAGAACAACTCGTCTATGGAGTGACACACCGACTTCCAGGAGAATTTGTGTCATGCTGTACAACCGTTAGCCAGTATGGATCAGACGCTTCACAAGATATCGATGGCCTCTCGAATATAACTTCGAACTTCTTCAATTCTGACTATATTGACATACTTCGATTATAAAAGTGTTACTGGTAAAGATGTTTTCACTCTTAATATCCATGACACTTTGAAGGGTTATTGTATTATCTTTTAAGAACCGTTCATTTATTCGTTTGTCGTCAAGTGCTTTCTCGGATCCATGTATTTTGTTGTATCATGTACAGAAGTCCACAGCCAGCGTACTTATTGAGATAAGTAATAAACTATGTGATTTCGTTCCAAATACAGATAAAAGACGTCTTCCCAGTAAAATTTTCGCGGATTCTTCAATGAACGTCACAACATTTCTGCAAAATATGTGGCAGTCCGAGAGATTCCAATTTGAATATTACCATATTCCTACATTTTCAGCGGGAATATTTAGTATTCTTCAGTTAATTAAATTGAATTTCCTAAATGTTTATATATCTTGTATGAAGTATTGGGAAAATTTCGAAAGTTCCACAGCATTTTGTGAAACTCTCGACCTTATTTTCACCGAAATGTTTAATGAAATTGGGTAAGGCTTCTGCAGTGACCGAAAAGCCAGGTGATCGGAGCGTGCTAATGAGCTGGAAGCAGCAGCTGCATCTGGTAACTACCGATAGCTCTTCCAACTCATTCGAGCCACTGGCAAGCGAAACTACCTGTGAGGATGACGGGATGCTAATCGCTAACATCCACCGACGTCTTGGACGATGGGCGTAAGTGATGAGATCGATTCATGTATAATGAGAGCCAGAGCGGCTTATGCTAATCTGGGCTACCTTTGACACCTTCGTGGTGTCAGTCTGCTTGTAAAAGGTCGGATTTACAACGCGTTGGTGAGAGCAGTTCTGTTCTATGCTTGTGAAACCTGGCCTCTCCGAGTTGAGGATGTTAGACGACTCTGTGTTCAAACATCGTTGTCTCTGAAGGATTACTGACATTCAGTGGCAATACCATGTTAGTAATGCAGAGATTCGGCATCGTGTGTTCGGGCGTAGAGACGATATTCCAACTGGTATCATCATCTTGAAACATCAACTTCGGTGGCTTGGGTACGTTCTACGAATGTTATCCCGGAGAATTCCACGTCGTGCATTATTTGCCGACGCTGGGACTGGTTGGAAAAAGCGGAGAGGTGGTCAGTGTATGAAATGGTGTCGTGGTATGAAAGAAAGCTGCAAAGGGCTGGCTTGTGTTGGTCCTTCACGACTTCCTGGCTGGGGCCCGATAGATGGTGCAACACAGTGGCTAGAGACGTTATCAGATATGGCTCAGAATAGAATCTAATGGTGATCCTGCTGTAACCTTCAACTTTCCTCATAAAAAGTGGTCGTAACTTCCTTAACTGAAGGAATTCTTTCTGGTTGTACCTTTCCGTTTCACCCATTATTATTACACTACCATACATTAATCTGTGGTCGTTATTGCCCTTCTTTTTTTTCTTATGCACACCTTACCATATGTTTCTCTTCCCATTCTCGTAATTTTGTGTGGCGCATATACATCTAGTGCCCCCTTGGACCAATATTTATGTGTTCAAATAAATAAAGGATCAAAAATAGTATATTGTAGTAGAAACCTCTACAAATCTAGGATTTGCCCTGACAATGTAGTCTCGCTGTACCAATGGGGTATGACAACTTGAACCAATCTGCAAATGTGTTAGATGCTACGTTGCTCTTGACTGACTGAGTAGATAAAGTTCACTTAAAAACAAGATTGAGGAACTACGTTTCATTTAGGGGACCTCATCCCAGTCTTGTGAAGAGTGTAAAAGAAACCTACTACAGGATCTCTATTGACTTCTTTGAACCATATAGGACAGCATCTCAAGCCACTGACTGAGTAGTACCGCCCCTACTTACTACCAAAACCAGAGTCACAGAGAGCAAAATTGAGTAACTAACAAGGCTTCGAATTAATGAGTTTCTCACCTCACTTGTCGCTTTATTTTTCTTCATAACAAACAACTAAACGTACTACGTTTATGCCGTTTTCAGAATAAATGTGCCGATTTTTAGTACTGAATTAAGTACACTGTAATGCAAATGAACACAAGTAAATTTCTCAGTATATTATAGTGTAAGCACACTGTTGTTGTCACTGGGCATAACAACTAGCTTTGTCACTTTTGCTGCAACTAATTCGTTACCAACTATAGCACAAACTTTTGGAACTTAAATGGAAATTTGTTCAGGCTACAGGTCACAATTTAGTGGTAAGACATCAGAGTGAATAACCGCAGGAAGTATGTGAATACAAACTCACTGGAAAACGTGAGTTTTTTTAGTCAGTGATGTAGGAGTTTGGCAGTAAGGCATAATGGTATCGTAATGTCAGGAAATTTGAAATACAAGATAAGTGTCTAACGAAGTAATCTAATTCTTACGAAGAATGGTTGGAAAACTTTCAATGGTATATTACAAGTAAAAGACATCCCACTTAACAATCGTACACCATCGTTAGTTTATGTGCCAGAACCAATGGTACAAAGTACAAGGGTTGAAAACCAAAAGCCGTCACCTATCTACTGCTTCAGAAACTTAGACAGATTGGGATAACTTTGTAAGTCTAGTGATTCCAGACATATTGACCCCAAGTCCCACACCAGCAAAATGAAAATTCTGTAATCACGAACTGAGAGTCTATATATGTAGTAATTTATTCTCGCAGCATTAATTTGTTTGGCTAAGACTAAAGGTTTTAAAGTTACTAACAGTTAAAAATATAACTCAACAAAGAGGAAAACGATTACGAAACTTTTCATTTGCAAACTACAAACAGACGTGAAGATGGACATCAGCAACTACACAAGGCCTTAAAAAAAAAGAAATTCACATTTTGAATTATACGTAATGACAGCAAATTACTGAACAGATGAATACCTAGCACATGAAAATTTGTCAGGCATATAGATAGAAGTTGAGTAATAAGCGGGCTCTGTTGTCTTAATAAACCAAATAGTATAGGGGGTAGGAAGAATATGAAAACAACGTACGGTAGTTGGAATACCGCTAACGCAAGTCAGCGCTAGCCTATCCTTTGGTGGCAACAGTTGACAACTCATATTTAAAGGGGAAAATCTGATGAGCAAACTATCAAGAGCCCGTTTTTTTCCTATACTGTATTCCAGTTTTTAATTCAGATTAAAGACATCACAACTACGAACTTCAAGGGGTTAAGATTTTAGTGGTTGAAAATATGGAATGACTCGATACTGGATTAGAAGTAAAACCGAAAACACTAGGCAGATGAACAATGCTGAAATAAGGACTACTAAAAGACTAATACAAAGTTAGGTAATAACTCGCGTTACAAAATTTATCAACTTAAATATAGATTACGGCAGCCTAACTCTACATAGAAATGAAAATACCTCGTAGGAAATATACTTGAGAAGAGAAGCGCAGAACCATATATGCCAATAATGACACGGTAGTATAGTCACAATCTGGAGACTCTGCACAACTCTTCAGAATACAGATCACATCCACTCATACTTTCGGCGGGATTCGATTGACAACTACACAGGCAACATCCACATGATAACTTGCACCAGAACTTTATACATCCAGTGAGGTATCCCTGGAACTAATTAGCTTTAAAAATGCCTACTGATATAATTTCTGGCGTTTCAGACTTTTTATTTCAGTATGCTATTCATAGGAAGTAAGAAAATGGAGGCCGTAAAGTCAAGATGCAGGGAATTGAATGGAGTTGGAAAGGCTATAAATAATCTAAAACTAAGGAAAGTAGGCTCGAATGGAGCTCAAGTAAGGGAATTTAATTTGACTGAAGTTTTAGCGAAAATATGGAAACAGAAGTAACCCCATTTGACTGGTCTCGATTGCTGATAGTTCCAGCTTATGAGAAACGAGAGTCCCTTGGGACTAGGTCGAGTAAGTGTCTAGAATATTAGTTTCAAGAACCACCCAACGACTAACCGGAAGTCATGAAGAGCAAACTAGGGAAAAAAACAGGGTTAGTGTGTTCACATAAATCTGCCTTTGCCCAGTTTTGGAATGTAGACATATACATCAACTCAGTCATAGCTGTATTTCTAAACTTTAATCCGTTCAGTAAAGTGTCGACTACCATCGGAATGATAACTTCAACTAGTGTTTGTTAGTGTCATCTATCTTTCTCATTTATCATAGACATTGTTAGAAATAACATCCTCCTCGTCTAATTTCTCAAGAATTAAAGGCGTTCATAATAGTCATTACAGACGAAAATTCCCGGCTTTAAAGAGAAGACCATTCTTAGCCAAATGCAAATCTTTAATTAAACATTTTTACATGAAAATCAAACATACATATATATAAGGACGAAACCAGTACTTCTAAATTTCTGAACAAGAAAATGTCAACTATAGACGATAAAGCGGCTGACAAGTTATTTCACGCCTTAGTTTTGATCGTAAGTCCATGCATGTTCTTTATTTCATCTCTCAAGGCCTAAAAGCAATAAACATTTTTGCACAGTTACACACCTTTTTAACAGCTCGATGCTGTTGCAAAACGGACAATGATGCAAACTCTCCTGCTTCAATAACTATTTCGAACATAGCTCCACAACCACCTGCCATGGAAATTCAGAAAAAAACCCATGGTTCTTACCACTCACATCAGAAACACACACAAGCCTAGCGCTCGGGAAGTTTTCTTTCAGAATAGTCTCAATCTTGGTCTCTCTGGCAGTTGCCATGCACCGAATGCATCGAAGCCCAAAACCGAAGAACTTCTGCAGAAATACAAATCATCAGTATGTATAAGCGAGCATACAAATAAAGACAAAATTGTACTAACAAAGTTTATTTCAAATGTTACATCTAGCACTACATTAAGTTGATAAAAAGTTATTCTTCTCTCCAACGCATCTTAGAAACATCAAACTTGTAGGCATCACTAATTGATCCTGATCGACTGAACACCTTTTTGTATAAAACTGCATCCTTATACTCAGGCAATTCGAGTACGTTTTTCGGAGGTATTACAACTACAGTCATGAGTTCAATGATTACAACTTACCAAATGTACGGATGTATATGTAGAATAGGAGGCCGATACTAATGAAAATAAAACCATATGCTAGTCCAAGTTTCCATTGGCCGTGTGGAGCGGTTAATTCAGCAAAGGTACGTTGAAAGCTATGACGATATAATGTCTTCACTTCTTCGGTTGTCAAGTGACTCCAGTCTCCTTGTTCTTTCTCTTTTAATTTAGCAATCTATTTGGAAGTTAACCCACTAAGATGTTTTACTTCAGGGGTATGGTTGCGAAATCTGATTGAAGGGTACGGGTACACCAAATCATCATAATACATAGGAATCCCATTCCTACCGAAACCCACTATTTCACGGTTACCTATGTGTGGGTAAAATTTTTGCTCCAATGGTGAAAGCACTGCACATGAGTCCTTTGGAGCGACTGCTGCAGCCGTTATCCTCCTACATAACGTGAAGTACACAGGACACGTCCGTAACACCATTACGATGCGCTCGAAACAAAAACCGAGCGACTCCCAATGTTCAATAGGAATGGTCTGAAATATGAGCCCAGTGTAGATGTCGAATAAATGACACTGTGTTTACTGCCTAAAACTTGAAAAATAATGATTCTCAGCACCGTTCCACTTCGTCTTTAGGCGTTCACTTTTGAGGATTCATTTACTGTCCTATGTATTATCATGGTTGGCTAGACAACCAGGCTTTATGACAAAGACAATGTCTTCTCTCGATGAATTGTAAAATCTTGAAGCTACTCAGTACGTGATTAGATTTGAGTAACAACCTCGTAGTTCTCTGAGCAGAAAACTGTATTATCAAGAGCACGCAGCATTGTATCACATAGTGTTTTGCTTACACTTGTGTTTACATTTTGCATGCCAACTTAGACGTTTTACTAATCTGTTGCAAATTGTTCTCCATGCCTGGCAACGCCCCTGAGTTCACACTTTACACAAAAATGTCACCAACTACAACACAGGGTAACGTCGATTCCATAGGTCTACCCCAATGATCAAGCGATAGATAATTCTATATGCTATACAAGGAGCACCTTAAGATAGTTTGATCACAGTTCAGAACAGTATAAACAACAAAGTGGCTTTCACCGTGTTGGATACAAGTGCTTTCAACATGGTTTGAACAGCTTCGATGCGTTCCACATTAGATAATTGTATACAGACGGCGGATTGGTTTTGAAAGGACAATTCAAACTCCTTAAAAACAGAGGATAGCTTCACACACAATCCTTAAACTACGTTGATAATCGCATGGAATAGGTCTCGAGTAGCTAGATCTCTTTACGCTATCTAACAAGACATAAGGAGATCCAATTTCCATAAAGTGGATATTAAGGAATGATTTTAGATCAGCTAGCAAAAAGACAGCACTATTGTTGAGCTAGTGAAATACCAGCAGACCCTAGCCAAATCATTTAGTAGTCAGGTCGCTGAATGTTGTAGACTGTCGATCCTTGTTAAGAACTTGGGCAATCAAAGGACATCAATCGATCGCAGCAGTTATACCCTGCTTCTTTTAACCAACACTACTAGCACATTACCGTAATTACGTTATGTTTGATATTTACGCCCATCAAAGTTGCCACAATACCTGAATAAAATGGATGGTAAGTGCATTTTAATAATTAACCGTGAAGTGTTACTTCAATCAAAGCTGAAACGTCACACCATTCCTGTCCGACTCGATTGCATACGTCATCATCAACACAAGTAACTCGGACCAGCGATCCTTATTCATATTGACCCAAGTACTCCACTCTCCAGCTGACGTCTTACATTAGCCACGTCCACCACGTTTTATCTTCGTTTCGGAAAATGAAACTGGAGGATCCAAACTTTCTCCTATGCTAAACCTTCGAATGTCTCAAGTATACATTGTCGTTTTGAGGACTTTTTTGATGTATAAGGATATCATGTAGTGGAACGCAGTGGTTGTTTCTCTTTACGCCTGCATGGTCTATCTAAACCTTTAAACGGTTGAACTTTTGTAATTATGCCGCACATTTTCTCATTCACATATATGTACCTGAGACGTCAGTACGATTGTATATATGGTTCTATATGCTTGTTCGTCTCTTTCATACCCGTAACACTTGATTCACATTTACTTAGATTGAGTTAGCGCTTCTCACATCTTCTCTCCGACCTCTTTCTATTGCTGGCTGTCAGGCTGCCGGATGTATAAAATATACCCTAAAACCGTTGACTTATTCTACCCCGTTGTTTATTAATACGAATTACGTTGATGAATAAGCAGGACGTTGAAAAAACGTAATTTTGTTACTATCAGTATCATGCCATCGGGATGGATTCAAATCATGGCCTGTAGATGTCAATCATGTGTCTAAGTTCATAGTAATAGGTTGCCTAAACAGTGAATGAGGGTTTACAATAGGTAGTCTGTGAAAATGGATTTGTGATTACTGGCTTATCGATTATCATGACCATCTTAATACGTATAATATCTCAGACAACAACCCTAACTGGAAATTCACTATCTAATGGCCCGTTTTACTCATATGACAATGTATGACGGAAACAAACTAATGAGAGTAAAGAAATATATTTAGACACAGTCGCAATATCAGTTGTGGGATTTTTTGAATGTTCACGCACACACGCATACATGGGTATCGAAATTGCAAACTTTTGCGAGGTGTTTTTCACTAGTAATGAATGGTAAGTATCTAAATTTTAAGGCATCGTGTTAACAAGAGACAAAAAATATCTTGATTTTTACACTATTGTTGGGTCTAAATTTTAGGAAACTTTATTTTGTGACCATTCTCACCAACGTGAATTTTATTGACAACCGGTCTTTATTTAGTAGGATGAAACTGATCTGAATAAAGTATTTAACTGACTATCCATAAGTACACTTATTATTTCCATCTAAATACGAAGAAGATTTTGAACCAAACCGGTTTTCTTTGAAATTTATAGTCGAGATAAATATTTTCTTGTGTGGTTTTTTGATGGAAGCACTGAAACTACAGAGTGTGACACGATCGAAACATTATACTATTAACTTCTTGTGTTGAACACCAAGTTGCCTTAATACCATGTTCGTGTTATTTCTGATTATCATCAGTCGCTTCCGTTAGTATTAAGTGCATTTTGTGTGATTACTGAGTTGTTGGCTCACATTTACTCGTCTTCTTTTCCCTTCTAGGCAATCTAACTTACTGCCCCTGATGTCGTACGTTCTGCTTACACGGACAAATATAAATAGTATTTATAGAGAACTAGAAGTAGGATTCTTATTGACAGAGGGGAAAAATTGGGCAAGATAAAATAGAAACAGCTGGTGTGGCAAGAGGAAAAGAAGTACGACGTAGTCAGTAAGAGACAACTCAAGGGTGTGCACTTAGTGCCGTTTTCATAGTTTACAAATTCGATGTGTGATTTTGTATAATGCAGTATCGTGTTATTCATACTAACTGATGTGTTTCATGTGCTTGGTTGCGCGCCCTACACAAACCCTATGTGCGATGCGTCCAGTTGTGATCGCCTAATTCAAATTATCATTAAATTGCACTAATCAGGGGATTCTTAGAAAATCAGTTTGGATGCTTCTGATTATCATAAGCAGGCAAAATGATTAGTTTTGAAAATCTTGCAGCTAGGAAAGCAATACAAATTTAATGGTACTTTCCAGTTTTACTCTAACACTTATTCTTGATTGACCCAGAAACTTCGGCAATATTTAGCTAAGTGAAAAGCTTTTTTTATCCACTATTTGAAAATGTCTTGGTATATATATACAATATACCTACAAAATGTAACATACGCTTCATTGTGATTGGTCGCTAAGAAGACTACCGAAATTACAAACCGGAGTTAGGTTTATATTTAGTCATATTACTTACGCAACAATTGCGGATGCATCTAGCGAATACGGATGTCTAATCGTTTAAAAGACTAGCTCATTTTAAAAATAGAAAGCAATGCCGACAGAATCTAAATTTCACATATATTTATCGCATCAGCAACTCCAAATAACTCGATCTGCTGACGGATACTTTACAGGTAGTTAGCTACCGAGGCAGTTCGTGGCCGACCAACTAAAAGTATAGGTCACATTCTATACAAGGACAGCAAGTTCATCTATGATTCAATTTATGCTTGACAGATAGCCAGTAAATATCATTTGAGAATATATTTTACTGAACGTGATAAATTCATGAAATATTCTTCTCTGTGAGGACTGAAAAAATAAAATTAATAGGACGCTACTAAGACCCGTTAACAGAGAATGAAGGTGAAATAGGGAGAAGTCACGCCTCAATGATTGGATCCCCACCCGTTCGATCGAGAAAGCGACAGAAATCATATGATGCCCAAGGATGGCTAGTAATGCCCTCCGTCTCTCTCTAAATGCACTTACACGACCACGTGTACACGGCCTGTGTCAGGGAGGTTCTACTCAATGCCCTCTCGTGGCGGGACGTTGCTCACAAAAATGGGAAAACGAAAGTCCGGCGCTTTGACAGGGTCCAGTAACAGTGGTGCACATAGGCTCCGGCACACTGAGGAAACGAAAGGCGTATGAACCAATCTTGGTCACCAGCTACCACGAGACTGAATCTCCTTACGACGCCCCATCGCCTTGTGGGTCGGATATTTAGGTAGAAGGCTCGGGGTGTGGCCCTCTAAGTAAACAACTCGGCTCGGTCTGGGTACCCTAGCAGTATCGCAGCTCACACACAAATAAAATGAAGATGACAGTACTTACTGAAAACTCGTCTATGAGCACTGGATTTTTTCTGGTTCCTGACAACTTATTGGAGCTCGTCGGTCTACTCCGAGTGACCGTGAGTTTGACCATAAACGACAACTGTTGCATAGTCAAATTAAGCAACGCCTATGTGGAGATCGAAAAGCCAGGCGATCGGAGCGTGCTAATGAGCTGGAAGCAGCAGCTGCATCTGGTAACTACCGATAGCTCTTCCAACTCATTCGAGCCACTGGCAAGCGAAACTACCTGTGAGGATGACGGGATGCTAATCGCTAACATCCACCGACGTCTTGGACGATGGGCGTAAGTGATGAGATCGATTCATGTATAATGAGAGCCAGAGCGGCTTATGCTAATCTGGGCTACCTTTGACACCTTCGTGGTGTCAGTCTGCTTGTAAAAGGTCGGATTTACAACGCGTTGGTGAGAGCAGTTCTGTTCTATGCTTGTGAAACCTGGCCTCTCCGAGTTGAGGATGTTAGACGACTCTGTGTTCAAACATCGTTGTCTCTGAAGGATTACTGACATTCAGTGGCAATACCATGTTAGTAATGCAGAGATTCGGCATCGTGTGTTCGGGCGTAGAGACGATATTCCAACTGGTATCATCATCTTGAAACATCAACTTCGGTGGCTTGGGTACGTTCTACGAATGTTATCCCGGAGAATTCCACGTCGTGCATTATTTGCCGACGCTGGGACTGGTTGGAAAAAGCGGAGAGGTGGTCAGTGTATGAAATGGTGTCGTGGTATGAAAGAAAGCTGCAAAGGGCTGGCCTATGTTGGTCCTTCACGACTTCCTGGCTGGGGCCCGATAGATGGTGCAACACAGTGGCTAGAGACGTTATCAGATATGGCTCAGAATAGAATCTAATGGTGATCCTGCTGTAACCTTCAACTTTCCTCATAAAAAGTGGTCGTAACTTCCTTAACTGAAGGAATTCTTTCTGGTTGTACCTTTCCGTTTCACCCATGATTGTTATTGTATTATAATACAATTCAGTTCGATTGAGATGATGCAACTTATATACGGTAGTTTCGGTAATAAGACGCGTTATAAAAAATCGTCGATGGTATTCTGTTGTCCATTTAAATAAACTGTTACTAGTCATTTAAACATATACATACCTCTGATGATATACTTTGGTCCTAATCTATATCTTGATTTATGTAGAACAGCTGGGTCACTGAGTGTTCATCTAATTATTAGTAAACCCAACGTTTCATCATATTTATGAACAAAGGTAAATAAAAGTTTACCTATGCACCGTTTGAGTGTCCAGAACCTCTGTTAAACAAGTAATGAATCGGAATGCATCTTTGATAACTGAGTTCCTTTTACTAATTCCTCGAAAAAATTCTTGTAAATAATCTTGAAGTGTGATAATAGAAATGTTATAGTATACAACAATGGATGACTTCTTAAAACAAAAGAGAATTGTCTTAGAATGAAATGCACTACATGTTAATTACTATTGTTCCTGCAATTTTTTATACATATTGACAGAAGTACTAATGTCATAACACAGATAACTGGAGAAAAAACCGTGCCGTAAGTAAAATTACTTTGGCTTATATAAACTAATTTTCGGAAAAGCAATAATTTGAAAGCAAAAATACAAAAATCAAAAACTAATTTATAAGTGGTATCTAAGATGACAGATGACCACGGCGGAGGAGGTAGATAATCAGGACGAAATCCATGATGACAGAGATTTTGACGTACAACCTAAGGGAAAGAAAAATCCAAATTACTTTATGTTCACAAGAAGAGACATGAGCACATGTAAAACAGTATATTTGGTCTGAACTTACTTTGTGATAATGTATACGTCTGAAAAATATCACAAGATTAAAATAAGACACAAGAGCATCTGCACACCATAACGGCAAAAAAACCCACCAATAGACTATCTCCTTTTGATTTGTACACAGTATATCCAAGATCTTTTCATCCCAAAGAACAGCTATACTTAAGCTGAAAATAATTCCAACTATGTGAATAGACAATTCAAATGGAGTGATATGGAGCCAATTTACCAATTCATTGAGAGATATAGTCATTCGATGAGTTTAAGGGTTGGATGAATGTTGACAGATTTTAATTAAGGTGGCATTCAAAACCTATGAATAAACATTAGTAAATATTTGATATTGTAACAATGAAAAACCGAATGAGGACAATAAAGCTAGCAAGTCAATTGTTTATGCGGGATCTTTCATCAACCTTTATTTGTTGACAGGATTTTGAACGTTACTATCTTAGTATTATATCTGGGCCATGCAAACTCAAGACGTATAAAGTACCGTTCGGTAAGAACCACTGCCCAGTCAGTGCTATAAAATATAGTGCTGGTATTACTCTAAACAAATAATACTTAGTATTATTATTCATTGTGGAGTTTATTAAAGGTTTATATTACGACGAGAGACTAATTAAATCCTTTGAAATTCCATCAAATAATACACCAATCCAAGGATGCGTTTACATTAACACTATCATGAATTTGTAAATTACTTACTAGTAATATACATCAAGTATTCTAGAATAATCATTCAATTAAATTCTGTCTAAACAGCCAACATAACTAATTAGGCTCATGCTGCGACCTTAAATTCCCTTCTATCGTAAACTAGATTTAAAAGTACCTTAGGTACACGGTTTAGAGAAGAGTAAAGCAGACAAGCAATTCAATTTCGACAGAACAACATTGTAATAAGCATGTGATCATTTCTTGTAAAACAATACAGGCTATGGAAAGGCGATTTTGTACAGAATAATTTCAATGAAAATGGAATATATAATGAATTATTCAATTGGATGAATCAGATCATCATCCCTTGAGTTCGGTAGATCAGGTAATGCACAGTGTTCACTAGTATCATTATCGTTATTAGCACTAATGTTAAACTGTATGTTAGTCTTGTCGTAACTGCAATTTGCTTGTTGATCAGCAGCACTGTCGGTATCAGGAATAGAACTCGAAACTTCCTCGTCATCAGACAATTCGATAAAAATCCCCTGTTCACATTGTGGTGAGCTACTGAGTTTTAGTGATCCTGGTAGAGATATCAAACTATCTGGATGAAGTTTTTCCATATCAGGACAGATTATTTTATCAGCAGGTGCTTGACTATTATCGTTTTCACGCCGGCTATCACCAGTGTTATTAATATCATCATCGTCGCATAAATTTACTTCCGTTTTTTCTCCAAAAGTTTTTGGTAAATGACATGAACGACCACTGTTAGTAATACCTATATTATTTGTATTTCCATTTGATATTATTTTTAATTTTTCTTTTGCATTGGCATCGTCGTCTCCAGTGAACGTTACAGAAGCGGGCATACCAGGAAGATCTGCGTACATATCTTCTAATAATTCTTGTAGATTTTGTACTACTGTAATTAAAAGACAACAACAGTAGTTGTAGTTAATCGATTACAATTAATTTGACATTATGAAATGTTAACGGATAGACATCGTACAATAAGAAAGGAGAACGGATGAGTAGTTGTTACTAGAAAATATCATAATAAGGTCATCTACGAAAACTCATACAAAAATTTACCGGATATGCTCTAAGGAAATAAAGCGATTCTACGTGATAAAAAAAAGTTAAACAGAAAAAACCGTAGAGTCATATGAAAATGCTACAGAATAAATACATATAAAAAGTTCGAAACTTAAGGTCATGAGAGCAAAAAGAAATGTTGCGGGAGTGGAATCGTATCGATATGTTCACTATGGAATCATCGTTCTCTTCACTGTGAAACAAAGTGAATCATGTGGCAGCTTATTACGTAAACATGAACTTGGTTATAATAGTTCCTCGGAAAACGGAACAAAACGTTAAAGAGAGCAGAATTCAAAGTTTTCTCTTTATGTAAGGATGAATGTAACTATGCGTGTAGCTGTTATAGAGTTACTTCCGGCCACAAGCCCGGGTAAGGTAGAAGGGTTAGGCATGGCGCCAGGAACTCAATTAAGTAGGAAACCATCTTACCAAAAAACACGTTAGTCAAAATAAACCATTTAAACTTTGCCCTACGAGCTGAAAGATTTTCATTCAGAAAAATTATGATGCCTCATGGTGAAAGCCGAGATTCTCCGGAAGTCACGAGGCCAATGTCTCTTTTAACGACCAAAGCAGCAATTATTATAGGTACGTGGAATGTCCAGACAATGTGAGAGACTGAGAGGACCAATCAAAAAGCTGCAAGAACAAGGAGATACAACTTGGTGGTGCTCGGATTAAGCGAAACCCACTGGATCCAAGCTGCACAAAAAGGTTACGTTCCAGAGAGATGCTGTTGTATTCTGGTCACGAAGAAGAAAATA